AATGTATCTGTAGACAAGTTAAAAGACCTTTTCAATAGGCCAAGTTGAGTTTGTTTGAAACTGAGGTGGAGCAATCTCTTCAACCTAATTTGGTACATCCGATTTGTACATTTTCCAAGAAAATAGGCAAAAAAGTTCAAAATTAGCATGTTAGAAAGCAAAACTGTTGTGAAACTTTGTAAATTGATTGTGGTGTGGTGACGACGGGACTAGGAATCACACTAGTCCATGTCACACCGTGGAAAGCTCACCACGTTAGAAGAGTCACAAGACGTGAGACTTTTGCAGGCACTGACAAATCAAGATTCGTCAGTTCTGCCCTGGCTTGATTAGAGATCAGGCACAAAGTCAAGAGTGCTCTCAAGATCCCAGTCCCCCCCTTGGTGGAATCTAGGATCTCGCTCCACTGCCCGATCTCTCCGCCAGTTCATTCTCACGACTCTGTCTCCCCTTCTGAGCTTTCCTTTCGCGGTGAAAGGTCCCCTTTCTCTTTTCAAACCCTCAGCCTTTTTGGCTTCCCTCCCACCCTGGTTCGAAGGGGCTCTGCTCCCCGCTCTCATGCAAGCTTTTCGACTTTGAGTTTAGAGTAGGGACCTAGTGAGTTCCTCTCCTCAAAGTCAAAGATGTGGTTCCTCCCAAAGCAAGCTTCCCTCACCTTTGGATCTTCCAAAGGCAAGGGTAGCACCTGCACACAAAACCATAGCTTGCGAGTGAGGAAGGGAAGGTATAACTTCCCTTCTTCCTCACTGCTATCCGGTAGCTTAAGCGGATAGACGTGGACTTGATTTATTTGACTTACATTTTGTCTAACCTCTAACCTTGACAGAACAAACTGGTCACAATTGAAAAGAGCCAAAGATTGAAGGAAGTAAGAAGTTGATACATATGTCAAGAGAAAACAAACTAATCAGGTTTTCTCACCAGAACCGAAGAGCTTTTATGATGAAGTCAATCAGTACAAGCCAAAGTAGACCAAAGATTTCAGAGAGCAAGTTACTCACATAATGTATGATTCTAAATTCGCATCTAAGCTTTCATATCAAACTAGATCATTGAGAATCACCAAAATCGATCATCAGTTGATAAGTAATACAGACAAACAAGAAAATCAAAAAACGAAAAGGAGTATCAGAAAGGACATTAATGTACTTACACATTCTGTCAACATAGCTGAAGATGAGAACCACGCAGTTGATGAACTAAACAACCAACATAGCAAGACCATCAATATTGAAAAACCAGAAGAATGTGATAGGTGTCAAAGTCGAGTTGAATTGCGGCGAGGTGTTGAGATTGTCAAGACCGAGACCGATCATCAGCTCGTTAGATGTCAGAGAGTCAAAATTAGGAGGGTCGCCAAGACGCGACTTGGCGGCCCCGCCCAACAATAATTTTGGGTTTTTGCCCCGATTGTCCTGTTGGATCTGGCTGTCTTCACAATTGAATACATTTGAGTTTTTTAGATACCAGACTTGAGCAGACCTCTTGACCATATACATTAAATTAATTAAATAAATGTAAATTTGTAACCCCCCCCTTCAAGCAAAAACTCAGCATTTATGCCTCCCCTTAGGGTTACACACAGTGCTGAGTTTTGCTTGAAAGCCAGAGGCTACAAACTTACGTCCAAATGCTATTTCTAAACAAAACAACAAAGCCAAAATAAAAAAAACTATCTCAATTGAATTAATCAATATGATCCCAAATAAAACAATTTAAATATAAATCAATGGGTTAATTCAAATCACAAAACCAAAAGCAACCACCTCATCACACCTTTTTTGTCTTCCTATTGTTATCCGCTTAATATAATAGTGATATTTGTGAGTCTATGAAAACCCACCTCCCAACAAAAAATCATGACATATATACATATGAATTTGCAATAAAAAACAATCAACACTTCATGTATCTTTTCAATAGCCAGATTGAACATCTTGCCTATCCTTGGTACTTGGTAGTTGAATGAGTTGGGGACTCTCAACCATAAAGGCTTTTGTAACCCTCAACACATTTGTTTTTCATGTGATCTTTGTTGAAGTGCTACTCAGGGAGTTCTCATGTTGGTCAATGAGTCATATCCTTCATATGTTAACTTGTGTTTTGCAGGAGAAGGCTTTGGAAGGTGTTGAGAAGTATATTTGGGCATAATAATTGTGTTTTATCTGAAAATTACTCAGAACTTCCGGATCTTCTGCCAACTTCATGTGTGGACATTCAGCTATACTTCATTTCAGCTCAATTTGGAAGACTGTTTGTCTGTTCCTCCAGGTCATACATTGAGATTGGATTGATATCAAACTTGAATCGAACTTGAATTGAATCTTAATTGAATTGAAATTGGATTGAACTGGTCGTACTCACTGGCCTGCCAGTGCCTAGTAAAATGTCACTGTGATTGATGAAATGACCAGTGAGACCCATGAACGGGACGTTGTTTGGCAAAGTCCAGGCATCTTGAGTGATTGCAATGTATTTGCAGGGGCCAAAATAAATCTTCTAGATGTACTGCTTGTAGTGATAGTAGTTCTTTTGTGTATGTTTGGCAATGGAATGTTGCTTGACAATCATACCATCAACAAGAGGATTGCAAAGGCATAAAAGTTGTCGAAATGATGGCTTATCAAAAATTGAGAAGGGAAGATTGTTATCGGTGATGAGATAAGACAAATGGGTCTTGAGAGTGGTGACATCGAGTTTATTCTGATAAACTCAAGTCACATCATGATTCATCAGTAACGAGTTACTTGAAAGACGAGTTTAGGAAATAAGAACTCACCACATGTCCAGTTTTGACCTTCTTGAAAGCTGCCAGTATATAAGATTGGTTGGGTAGATTGGCATCACGGACACCATGTTTTGATTCAAGGTGGTTCTTCATTGAAGTCGTACTGCTTTTCTTATCGCAAGCCAGCTGTTTCCCGCACTCAGCTCCATCCCCCATGATGAATTGGCACTGATTATAATCTTTAAACTTTTTAAAGAATTTCCAGACGTAGCTTGCTGGTTGATTCTGAAATGAAGAAGAAACAATAGTGATATCTGAATGATCGGCTTGAGAATCAGTAGTTGATTCAGCTGGGGTCCAAGAAACCGTGTTTGATTCTTCAGACATGTCCATTAAGTTCAATGTGAGGATGATATGATGGGTTTAAATTGAAATCAAATATTTTAAGATGGTGATAGAAGGAGTGTGCATGAATAGAACACTGATTATTGGTTGGAATTGGTGGGGATGAGTCTTGTTTTTTAATTGTTTTTTTTATGGATCCCACTATTTTCCGCCCCTTTGGCAAATACCCGGAGCCCCTTTGATTTGGGGCATTACCCAAGGTATCCGACACGACCTGAGTGCACTCAGCCAAAATTCTGGTGAGTCGGACCTCAGGGGCACTTCAGGGGCTCCTTACATAAGCACATCCTCACGTCCGAGCCCCTTCTACACCTTCTTGCGCCCTATTTTAACCAATAGGGTGCTAAACTCTACATTTCCCCTTTTAAAAGAGTCAAAAGCCGTGTACCTGTCAGACACCTTCCTTATAAATCCCCTTGTCCCTCTCTCTCTTCTCCCTCTGCCTATTTTCCTTTGTCCTTCTATGTATCCCCATTCCAATGGGATTTGGCGCTTGATTAGCACCTTTTCCTGAGGAACACAACCAGGACGCCTCAGCCGAAATTACACACTGCCAGATAGCTGATCAAATCAAGAAATTGAATGTTCAAATGGGTTGGGGGGCAAATCGAGGTACTTACATAATGTGCTCTTTGCGATTGGAAATCAACGACTTTTGTTTTCAACATTGTTTTTCTTTTTCATGCATCTATTCAGATCTATTCCTTTGTACCTTTCTAATCTCTGATGTGTCTGTTTGTATGTCTTGTTGTGAGAATTTTCATGTCACTAGTAAGTTCTCTCAACATTTGTATGCCCTGTGGTCTTGTCCTTTGTCCTATGATGTAAGCTCAACTAAGCCCCTCCCGCGTCCGCATTGGCGACCTCGATCATATCATCAATCACCTTGTGCATTGCTTGCTGGAATGTCAAGTTCACATGAGATGAGATCGGATGCATGCAAGCAATGGAATTAGGCAATAAATGGACGGGAATATGGTGTGGGAGCCCCTAAAGGAGCCCTATTTTTTCAAAGGGGGCTCTAAAATGCTTGTTGCCCTGTGTCCGGTCCGAGAGAGGGCTCCGGATACTGACCCGGGGGCAGAAAATAGTGGAATCCTTTTTTATTTTCTTTATTTTTTTTGTAACTTACTGCCGGATATCCAGTGGATAGCCGGTCCGGATGTCGGATCCTGGATTTTCAAAAAAAAAACCAGCCGGATATTCTCCGGCAACTCCGGATATCAAAAATAACCGGCGGTCCGGGTGTCGGATGGACCAGACTTTGCCGGATAGTAGCCGGATCTCAGGTTGAAGCTTGATCTCAAGCCTCAAGACATGGCCATATGAACTCTTAGAGTGCAAAGATGAACAATTTTCCTGTTTTGTTCAACTTTGCTTACATTCAAAGAATCCTGTGGTAATGTCAGATGTTTTTACCATGAAGAAGTATTGAGCTTTAGATCCTGTCAGTTTAGTTGCATACTTTTGTTTTCACAGTATCCACTCATTTCTTTGTCTTCTATCGCCGAATGATTGGGATGAGGAGGGTGCATGAAGCTCAAGGAAACACATAGACGTCAATTTTCTGGCGCTGCTAGATGTAAAATAAATCCAGCCATACCTACCTAGTAATCAAGAACAGCCATCTGAAAGATCACACCTTCATAAGGCATCTCTCAATGCAAGCCAACAAGCCAACAAGCCAATGAGAAGGTGGCCTTTGTGAGAAAAAGTTTGAGAAACTAACCACAATCTTGTTGAGGGTTGCCTCAAAAACTCATTGTCAGGCAATCACTTGACTCTAATTCATCTCACATCTCGTCCACCCCAAATATGATTAGGCAACTCAATTCTCTCCAAACCTGTCACAGTACTCAATACCAAGAGATCAAGAACCAAATTAACATAATTTGATTCTAAAACAATATAAATGTATAAAAAGACTACTCTGAAAAAACAAGAATAGATTGTGTTTGTACTATACGAGAGTTATACTAGAAGAATCGACTTGAGACAAACTTTTTTTTCGAAAGATACTTTCATTGAGGTTCATGAATAAATCAGAATAAAGAAAAGTTGCTTAATCTAGGTGTCATCCAGAAAGGACTAGGCGCGGGCAACAACAAAAGCCATGGCGACCTCATCGGAATGCTACAATATGGCAAGCCAAAATGACAAGATGAGTAAAACTCGAAAGATCCGATATAGATACCGGGCATGAATTGAGCTTACGGTGATTGAGAGTTCAAAAGTTTTGATCGCCTTGGCATCAGCAATCTTCTTTGCTTCACCATATAACATAACTTGAGGTCCACTAGCACTTGAAATGATCTCAATCTCTTTCATGGCTGCTCCTGCACCTTTGCTATCGGTCTTCAAGGCTTTGAAAACGGCTTCCTTAGCTGTCCATTTACCAGCTAAAGAGGCCTGGAAATCAGGTGCTTGTCGGCAATACTCGAGTTCACTCGCCGAAAAGTTCCGTTCCAGGAAAACTGCTGAATTGGGCACTGCTGTGATCATCTCTACATCAGTTCCAACACCATAGACACCGGCTTCGTGATCGTATTTCTTGACCAAATTAGCGGCCACTGCTGCAGTTTTGACGGCCACATTCACCCTAGTAGGTAAATGTTCAGGCTTTTTAGGGTATGAGTAAGAACCGGTGGAATCCTTTGCAGCTCGAGCAAGAGGGTTGAGAAGAACTGGCGCCTCCAATTCGGGGGTGTAAGGTGGAGCCTCTTTGAGCACGACCAAGGATCTCTTGGTGAGGAAGTCATTGAATTTGCGGTAACTCTGTGATGAAGATCAAGACACGTAAGCTACAGAGACGCAATCTGGAAGATTCTTGAAGACAAAGATGACATACCGCGCGCTCTCGTACCAATCGCTTGGACTTGTAAGTCTCGTAATCACGAGACTCAATCGCAGCCAATAAATAATCAGGATGTACGACCAAGATCTGTCCTCCAACTTGACCGAAGCCAAAGGATGTGAGTAGACCAGCTTTGATACCATCGGTTTGAATCGATTTGGATGGGAATAGTAAGAATTCAAATTCTTGAAGTTCAGGACCAATGTTGTCCGCATTTCGATTTCCGGGAATAAGTCCATCCTGAATGGCTTGCGTAACGCCACACATCATCCAAGCAGCGGCACCTCCCTTGGGGTGTCCAGTGAGCCATTTTTGCGCGACGACTGGAACAGCATTTCCACGAGACCGACCCAAGTGTTGGAATTGCTTGTTGTAAACGGAACTTTCATTCTTATCGTTAGCTTTGGTACTGGTACCATGGAACTAACAAAATGCAAGATAAGTGAGCAAATGACTGAAGGGTTCGCGACCGGCACAAAGTATAGAAAGAACGTACCGACGCAATTCCAATGTCATCTACTGTCAAACCCCAAACAGCTAGTGCTCGCTTAAGAGGTGCGACTGTAGGATCTTCACCCATGAGCATTCCAAAGGTACCCAAGACTTCCTTTTCCTGACGTTTGGCTTCGCGTTCGATCGAGGCGTATCGCTCATTGACGTCTTCAGAAGTCATGGGAGTACCACTAGCTTCGAGATGCGATACCGTACTCTTCAAGATCTCAATTTCGTTCTCTAGCCATTCTGAAATCTGCTTGCGACGGAAAACTAGTTGACGCTTTCGATATTCCATATCAAGTACAGGCGAAGGCACTTTTGCGGGTGCTTGTCGGGCGGTCGACAAAACTCCACGACCGGGTCTATAAATAGGGAAGAAGATGAATAAAAGAAAATTGATGTGCGTTTGATGTAAAGGATATGAAGAACTGACGCTGGAACACTCCTACCAGCCTTGTCGGTGGCAGTGGCAGTGTAGGCGACGACACCATAGATACTGGCACCAAGCTCAATGGCCGTCTTGGCAGACATCAACACCTGAACACCACATCCTTGAGACTCCATGAATCCTGCACGTGTGCTCGTCGTAGGTCGAGACATTTCGTTCGGTTCACGCCCAGCAGCCAGCTCAGTCTCGGTGTTACTGGTAGCTTGCATATTACCGAACTCTAAGCTTCCTTCTTCATCGAAATCGTCAAACCCACCAGCAATCATCACCTTAGCCTTTCCGCTCAGGATGGTATCACAAGCGATTTCCACGGATTGCAAAGCGGTAGCACAAGCACCGACAGGGATCTTGATAGGACCACTCGAAGATACTGCGAGGTAACACGTATAAGCCCAAGACCGGAGCATCATCGTATGATCAAAGCCGGATTTCGGTACTTACAAAGTAACAGATTAACCCATCCAGCGACCGTGTTGATGAAGGTCTCTTGTAAGATATCCTTCTGGACATCTTTCTCCTCTCGACGATCCCGGAACATTTTCGACAAACTGCTCATACCACCCATACCAGATCCCAAGGAACTTCCGACTTCACTAGGATGGACGTATTTGTATAACTCATAAGGATCGGTGATACCCGCCATCACTATCAAAAGCAAACATGATCGATCAGTAAGGGAAAGACATGATCGATACAAGGAAAAAGTGGGGTGATGACCAACTCAAAGCTTCCGCAGTGCAGACCAATGCCCACAACGAAGTACGATCAACCTGAGCAATAATATCATCCGGAATACCAAACACTCGCGCATCCCAACCTGTTGGAACCTGCCCGGCAACCAACCGATCAAATCTGACAGCCTTGGGAATCATTATCTTCGCCCCCTTCTTGAATCGAATGAAGCATCGGTCACCATCGACCCATACATCCACTTTGTCCCCGTGTTGAAGCTTGAACTTATCAGCATCAGCTGAAGACGTTTCGATAGCTTCAAGGTCGTGGTTAAGTTCGACCTCTTGGGTATAACCTTTACGTTTGGGATCGTAGCCTCTGAACAACTCGGGTTCGATGAACCGGACACCACTATGAGCGAGGATCTGGGCTTCGTATTTGGCCTTGACTTGTGAGTCATCAACCGGTTCTTCGGTCTTTGAATCAACCCAACCGACATACTGTTTACCATTTTTCAATTTACCGTCCACAAACTTGATCAGACCCGTGATGGTCGCCAATTCAAGTAAGCCTTCGATACTGAACTCTCCTTTGGCCTCCATTTGCCATCGAGTACGAGAGCTTCCGAATGGCCCCACTTCAGCGTAACCAGCGATGACAATCACTTTGTCGAAATCAAGCATACCCCGGAGCATAGACATGTTCTTCTCATGGTCAAACGTAGGTAGAAGTTTCGGAATAGGTAAAGTAAAGTTGGCACGAGGGGTGATGTTAACAGGATGATGGATGGATTCCGCTTGGGCTCCATTAACGATCTTGAAGTCAATAGCGTTGTCAACACTGACTTTCTTGCGGACGTTGGCCACATCGTTGAGTTCAAGTCGGATCTTGGTCGTGATTTCAGCAAGATCGTGTAGTTTGTCCATTCCACCGTTCAAATCAGCCCAAACAGGTTCGACTTGAGCCACGTCGAAGAGCAGAGGATGCATCAGCCCTAAGATGTTGAAGGCCATCTCCTTGGCCGAAAAGGTTCGAACGCCGTGGCTCTCGACTCCTTCGGCGATAATGTTGGTAGCTGACATGAGACCAGTACCACGAGTCCATCCGATGACTGCACCAGCAAGACAGAGATACTCGCCCCACGATTCCGAAGACCAGCGATTGAACAAAGTCTCTAGAGAGATCTTCGATTCAGAGTACAATCCATCATTACCAAATAAACCATGATTAGGTGATAATGGTAAGACAACTTGAGTAGGTCTAGTAACGAGTTTCAAAGCATGCTTTTTCTTCTTCACTTCTCCCATTAACCTGAGTAAGTTCGTTAACATAACTCGGTGCGCCAATTCGGAGCGATCATCTAAACCATCAATCTCTCGTCCGTTTTCGGGTAGAGCAGCAAAAGGAAGGATGTAATCCAAATCCATAGCTAAACCTTTGTCCTTATCGGTGGAGTAGATGTAGTCAACCAAAGCTGCAATCGAAATCGAGCTCATTCAGTAACAGATATTTCCTCATAGGTTCATAGGTTGGTAATGAGACTGCTTACCTTCCACATCTTGTTTAGATCCCTGGTTGAAAGGCACTACAGTCAACCTACTACCACGCGAACCCACTTCTTGGTAAATAGCTTGGTAATATTCAACCGTGGCACGCGAGTATCGCGAAGTGGTGACGACAACTTGAGCACCACCACTCAAGAGACCCTTCAAGATTTCAACACCAATACTACCTTTACCCACCCCAGTGAGGAGTGCGTTCTTATGTTCGAAAGTCGTTCCAGCAGAGGCAATCTCCGTCAAAACATCCAGATAGAGCTGATTTTGAAAGTGATCGATACATGGATAAATTAGTTCAAGTTGTCGAGGTGAACGCGTACTGAAACAAACTTACGGTGGTCAATTTACTGCTGTAAACCCAGTTGTTACCAACTTTGCGCTTTAGATGAAGTAGAGGTGTTTTGTCGCTAGAGAGTGCCGTTGGTTCAACCTGCACAGGTCGAAGGAACTGACTTGATGGTCGGCGGCTTCTCGGAGCACCAGGTCCCTGTCGATTTCGCTCGTTGTGGGACAGGCCCTTAACTACCTCGCCGTAAAGGGATCGGATCGCGGCCATTTGTGATTTGACAATCGTTGGCTGAGATTTGACCAATTTGTAAAGGTTCTGAATCGACTCCTGAACTTTGTCAAGATTCATCTCAGCGGTGATTTTGGAACCGGCGGCCATTTCCGCAACGTATCGTTCGAGTCGGGATACACCAGTTCGGTTGACTTCTTCATAGACAATGTCACCTTTCACAGTGACTGTAGTCTTCGGGGCAGTGGGGAATGTGACTAGAAAGAGGGGGAAGCATAAGAAACCTCATGATGTTCAAAATTATTTCAATCAATACTTACTATCACGATACATGGGTGCAGTGCCGATAGCCTCGCGACAATTGCTGAGAAGGATTTGCCCAAAATCCTTGGCGAGTCGGTAGCGTTCTCCTTTCAAAGCGTCAGTGTTGTCGAGATAATACTGCATATAATCTAACAACGCTGGGTTGGCTCGGTTCATGATCACCAGACACTATCGATGTGAACGTGATCAGCTACAAGTCGGGATCATGACGAATGGAAAACTTACTTTGGCAGTGATGTCCCGATCTACTGTTTGCAAACGGCCATAAATACTGCAAAAGAAATATATGTGGGCCCAGATGAAAGCTGCTGCTTCAGAAGAAAAGAACAACTTACATATCAAAAAACATCTCCAACGCAGTCTGACGAACCCAATTCCAGGCAGAATCGAAATGACGGGCTTTCAAAGGATCGAAGACCGGCTGGATACCTTGAATGTAGGATTCTCCGTGTTCCTTGTGAATGGCATCGAGTTGGTTCTGGAGACGCTGGAATTCAAGATGTTTGAGATCGTGTAGTCGATATCCGTCACGTGAGTCTCTCTTGAGGTATCGAAGAAGCACTTCGACTTGCTGCGAGACAAAGATATCTTGACCCATGAGGAATTTCTCAAACTCCTCAGAGTTGATTGTAGCCCCGCCAGTAGCAGCGCCACCGGCAGCAGCGGCACCACCCTGACTAAGGGTGATGCCCGCATTTTGAGAGTAGGCTTGAACCACGGAGTCCAAGTAAGTTTTAGCTTCGGCCTCTGAGCCAAGTCGCTTGGGAGGCTCCATAGTCACCGCCATCAGTAGCACACCATCGACGCGACCAGGACCTAGACCCCAAGCCTTGGTCAAGTGTGACTTGACGCCAGACATTCCGAAACCACCGGGCATCTTGCTACCGATCAAACGAGAAACTAAACCACTCGTATGTTTACCCATTGTGCCGCTGTAGCTTGAGCCGAGTGCGGCACCAAGTTCGTCGAGTGGCATTTCTTCAGCTTTGTCGGGTGCGGAGCCGAATTCGGCCTCTGATGAGATAAAGGTGCATTTTGATTAGTTCAACTCGAAGGAGATGAATCTTCTTAGAACACTCACGTGCGCTTCCGAGCAGCTCGTTCTGCAAAGTAGACTTGCCACCGACTAAGTCCTTGATTGCCTTGGAGAGGGGAACCTCGGACAACGGTTTTTTGAGACCTTGAGCGACCAAGACTCTGAGCGTTTCGACAGCTTTCAAAGGTTCGTCAGGTACCGCCACGGCTGGGCCAGCTGATGCAGCTGGAGCTGCAACTGCAACAGGTGCGGCAGCGACGGCAGGAGCAGCGGCAGGAGCCTCTTCAGGCGCCTCCTCCACTTCATCTTCATACTGGTAGTAGATCTCCTTAGAGTTTTTCGAGATACAAAGGATTTCACGAGTCATATTGCTCGCCAAATCGCTTTTCTCGAATTTGAGCTTCAATGTTCGCGTAGCCATACCAGTCAGGGTAGGAGACGGTCCAAACTCGATCAACCGTTGGATGTTGAATTCCTCGGGAGAGAAAAGTCGGTCTTGGGTCTGAACCCAAAGAACAGGCCTAGGTTCACAAGTCATAAGAGACGTGAGCCACTTTCTGAGCGTCAGAGAAAGAAAAACAGAAGAAAGGCTTACGATGCAAATTGGTACGCCAAGAGCTCCACAATGATGACATAACCTAGCTTGTTACGATTCTCAGGGAGGTCCCAACCATCTGCAGTCCAGTTCTTCAAAGCCTTCTCAAGTCTCGGCGAGTTAGTTTGTTGAAAGATTCTGTCGGCATATTCCCTTGAGATTTGAAACGGCTCGGCAATCAAGTTAGGAATGTATTTGCCAATGAGCAATTCGGGATTGAGGTGAGCGGGGTTGAGCTTCTTCGATAGGTATGCTCTGAAGGGCATCACGCCAGCCCATAGATACCGCGAGTGGAATGGTACATCGATTCCGGGCAATGGGATCGATCTGCGTCAAAAGAACTCGATCAGTACTAGTGAAATGACTCATATATTGACAACATAGCTTGTAAGAGTGGGACTCACGCAAAACCACGCTCTAAAACAATGAATCCATCCTTCTTCTCTTTGGCCACGGATTCCTTGTGACATTCATCGACAATCTCGGTAAGTTTATCTTTGACTTCCTCTAGTGACATCATCGCCTGTAGTTTCGCGATATCGATCTTTTGAATCTTCAAGAAGTTGAGGACATTGGTCAAGGTCTGTAAAGCAACCAGTTCACCCGCGGCGACATATTGTTGACCTTCGACGTTGAAATTGACAATCTCCAACAAGACGTTGCATCGCTTGGAGATGGTCTCGACCACCTCTCGAAGAGCTGCATCAGTGAAACTTTTACCAATTCGACTAGGATTGACAGCGGCCATAGCATAGTTGGATCGATTATGTTCATCTCGCTCAACTGCACGCTGCATGGTGATACCTCGGAAAAAGACGACATCGACCAAAGAGGAAATAGGAAGAATACCAGCCATACTCGCCAACGCAGAATACTCTCCAAGACTGTGCCCAGCAAACGCTGCGCCTTCTTGTACCAAACCCTTCTCGCGCATATCCTCAAAGGCAGCTTTTTCAGTAACCACCAATGCGATCTGTGCGAATTGAGTCGCATATAAAAGACCGGTAGGCGATGAGAAGGTGTATCGGGAGGTTCGTAGATCGATGTCTCCGAACAAGGGTAAAGTCTTGACGTTGCCATCTTTATCGGTGGTCTGGTATGACATCTCCATGTATCGCTGTCGGATTCCGTGTCCCTTGATTCCGCCAAAGTGAACAACTTTCTCCTTAGGATTGTTGCGAACGATTTCAAGAATACTGAATCCATACACTTCACCAAGATGTCGGTCAGCTTCGTCCCAAACAGCCTTAGCCACTGCAGATTCGTTGTAAAGAGACATTCCCATGCCTTGTTCCTGACTACCTTGACCGGTGAAGACGTAGGCAGTCGGAGCTTGAGCTACTTCAGCTGTCCCGACTAATACTTTCGTAGGTGGGGTGGAGGAAGATGATTCAGACGGTAAGGCAAGCGTGGTGACCGAAATAAGTTTGTTTCCTCTTGAAGTTTGACCGATGTGTTTCAATTCGACTTTGAGAGGCGTATTGGGCAAAAGCATGCCAGTGAAGGAGACATCGTAACTCTTGACGCGAGATCCATGTCCCTCGGCCGCAACTCGTTCGACAACACTTCGAGTCGCCGCACTAGACCACATACCGTGAGTGATGGTACCGGGCAGAGAAGCGAGACTAGCGAAGTAAGGATTGCAGTGAATAGGATTCCAGTCGGAACTCGAGTGGGAATAAGCTTGGTTACTGGGAGGGGTGGAGAGTTCTTCGGGATGATCATCTTTGATGACATAACCTCCGTTAGTAAATAAGATGTGTTGACCGACAGGACTCCCAGATCTCTTGAGATATTCGACAACGGGATTTCCTCGAGATGGTAGAGAAGAGTTGTAAGTGATGGTAGCCACCTGGACAAGTTGATTGGGGTCGGAGCCGAGGCCAGTGAGATAGGCGAAGCCTTCAACTTGAACATTCGAGTAAACGCTCTTCTCTTTGTAACGGTACGAAGATGAGGTTTTGAACGTCAACGTCTGACCAGCGGCAAGGTTAACTTTCTCATCGTCCCAATCAAACCACTCTTTAGACTTGAGGACAGCGATATCGGTGGTAGTAGCCATGGTGACTTTGTACTCGGGGTCATCTTCAGACATGAAAGTTGCGTCATAGTCATCGAATCGACCGCGATAGAAAAAGGATGACAATACGTCCATAACCGCCACTTTGGCGCCATCTTTCAAGAGGAAGACGGTACCCTTAACAGATACGGTTTTTCCAGTTTCACTGTTGGTGATGCTAGCAATTTTGGCTTCGCTAACAACGACATCGCCCACCTGAAAGATGGATTCATGTCAGCAAAATGATTGGGAATTTACATGACATGTAATGGACAAACCTTGAGTTGAGGTGCACGGTCTCTCATGGTGAATCCGTTACTGAGATGGACCAAGGCAAGTAAATCACCAGGTACAGATTTTGGGAAAAGGGGCTTCATAATCGCCTTCCAGCCGAGTTTGATACCGAAATCCATGGGAACTTCCATTTGAGCGTTCGAAGCACGGTATACATCGGATTTGTTAAGGACCACATTGGTGAAAGATTCGACATCTTGGGCAGTGATGGTGACTTCAGGGCCCTCAAAGACCGCATTTGGGGATGTAGGGAGTTGCTGCAATTCCTCCTACAAATTTTCAATTTTCACGAATAGCAGTTATCAGTTGGAGAACGATGACGGCAATTTAAATCTGGGTTGAAGTTTGAAAACACTTACCTCGGTACCGAGGTCCCAAATGTGCCAGTAATGTTTCTTGATGCGTTCAACGCGACCATCAGAAACCTCGTGAATGGGAGCCCATGGTGTCTCTGGAGAGTACTTGTATTGTAAATCGAGTTGCGAGACTTTGGGAGGGGTGGTTGGAGTAGCATCAGCTGGTGTAGAGTATTCGACTGTAATTGATCCCACACATGTAAATATGAATCAACCAAAAGGTTGAAACTTTAAATCAGTAGCTTGTTCCAAGTGCAGGGATGGAAGGGGTAGCGAGTTTCGTACATAATTTAACATCAATCAGGCTAGTCTTCTTATCGAAGGAGATCTCTAAAGCCTGTGGCAATGCGTCATAATCGACCTCAGCCATTTTGAGCTGTGATAATGAAACTTGATAAAGTTCTGGATGCGATAAGATAACGTAGGTAATTGAAAAGGGGTAGGAAAGTGCTTGGATGAGCCCGAGACTAATCAAGTGGTAGAAGTATCTATGATTTCTTAGCTGCTTGGGGTATATCAAGGCAGTGTTGGATAGGAGATCGACGGATAGAACGAGGGAGGTCGTTTAAGACTTCGTGTCTTTGAGTGGGGAAATCAAAAAAAGAAGTTGGGGTAGCTGCGGGCACCAACCGGCTACATATGTAGACATACATACCTACATGTCAACATCTATGTAAAGCGACTGTATGACAATACATACTTCCCACTGTGACGTCAAGGCAGGTCAGTCAGGTTGTGGGCGCGGCGCAAAAAAACGCGCTTCGGCGCGCCGATTTGTAGGCGCGCCGCGGCGCGCCTAGGCGTTGAAGAAATCCCCAAAATTGGGGTCGGCGCGCCTTACCAAACAACGCACCGGATCTTGGGAGAGATGCGGTATCAGTCTTTCTCTGAGACTACCTGAGAGAAGCAGTGAGACATACAGGTATAGTTCAATCCCGGTCTGTGTGGCGCGTTTTTTTTCGCATGGCGCTTCCTTCTCTTTATAAGCCTTCCACCAACTACAGAACATCCAGACATCCATTGGTCAATTTCATTGGTCAAAAATAATACATACAAAAGATGATCGAGTTGATAAAATGCAAAATGAGATGTCTTGAAAAGCAGAAGTTGGAAGCATTTTAGGTTGGTTGAAAAGAAGTGATATCGAGTCCTTTTCGTGAAGATTATACATACAAAGAGACAGTTTGAAAAGATGGCGACTGAGTCGTTTTTGAAGAAATCAAGACAACGCAACAGATAGAAACCTCTTACATCAAAGTATCTCGCTCCGATGACAATGCATTGTTTTTCTTGTATCGGTTTTGCTTGCTACTTTCATTCAAAGTAGCTTGTTCCAATAACATTTTGTTGTTTTGTAAGTTGCTTCATTATCAATACTTTGATATGTAAGTGGTTGTAGCGATAGAACCCCCTTGACAATGTTTCAGGGGGATTGGAGTGAGTCTGAAGGTATAGATATAAGGTGCACATGGATGACTCGACAAAGGTTCTTGATTCTTGATGAGGTTATCGAAGTGTTAACAGCTTCTTTGAAGTCTTAATGATGAATTTGTTCAAGTCTTCATACATATGTACCAGTTGCCACCAGCCTGTACAGACAGTGTACAAAAAGCCACCATCCGGTTTACTTTTTTGTTTGTCTCAGGATAGTCTCAGAGCGAGTTAGTCTCAGAAAAAGACTGATACGGTTACGCTCCCCGGATCTTTGGTGTTCTACGTCCTGTCACCAATTTTGGAGACCTGGATCCTCGCTGTGAGCTTTGAAGACAGCTCTTTTTAGCTTTTCTCACCTCCAAAAGGTAAGTTTGTGGTGGTAGATGGCTCTAACAATAAAAACATAGATGAATTCAACTTGCTAATATCGGGCCACGTTGTTGACACTACAAAAAAAGTGTTCTTTTCTCATGAGATTGGAAAACTTTGAGTGTCACAGAAAATTACACATAAACGGTACTCAAATTTAAAACCCATCATAAAAACCCATGTAAAAAACCCACGAAAACCCATCTGATTTTTGGATTTTTGGGACGGGTTTTTTTGATGGGTTGCCCTTGAGAGCTTTGTCCGCCCCACCCCTTCAAGTCCCTGTATTCCAAAAGATGCCTAGGATCTCAGCTCGCAGGCAGCTCCTATCATCTCTTGATGGCATGATTTTACTTCAAGTCTCTCTCCTTGCGTCCACCACAACTATCTCTTCACCCACTACCCCATCTTTCATTCCAAACCTAATCGCTTGTTTGATGATGGTGTCTTTCATGAATTCCAACGACGATGACGAAAACGACGAATCAGACGATAACACTGGCCATCAAGAACGTACTATCATATTTGCTTGCATGGTCATGATGTTAACTATCATTGAACAGGGTGCCTACATCAACAAACGAAGACGGAAATTGGAAGAAGACAAATCAATTCTAGGAGTCCTTTTGATGATACAGGAAGAAGTCAAAAGAAGAAGATACCCTCATCCAAGACACCGCAGGCCTCGTTGTAGTCAGAAGGCTCAGTGTTTTCAAGCTTGGTTTGATGAGACTGATCGCACTTGGATGTACAACTCAACCAATTTTTTTCATGTGGGTTTTCAATCTAGATGATCTTGACCCATAAAAAAAAACCCGTCCCAAAAATCCAAAAATCAGATGGGTTTTCGTGGGTTTTTTACATGGGTTTTTATGATGGGTTTTAAATTTGAGTACCGTTATAGTTTTCTTTTCTCATTTGAGATGATCTGCCTTGGGAAACAGCCTTTCAACACCGTAAATGAAATACTATGACTACATTTCTCGTATAAGGACAGCTGCGTCTTTACAAAGATACAGTCAATTTCACCAAGCTTGGAAAGAATTCCGTGCCAATTTGCTCAAGTTTGGCGGGCGAAAGTTTCCAAGCTTTCTGAAATTGACTGTACATAGACAGAGCGGGTGGAGAGCTGTGGAGAGTGGAAAACTATGATATACAAAGGATTTTCACTCTTACACCATAATGAGCTGCAAATAAACGACCAATTTTCATGGGTTTTTCTATTGTACTTGTTTCTTCTTGATCGTGATTACCAGAAGAACGCAGTGTTGTAATTAAGACTTCCCCACTTGATGATTTTGGAATAGACTTTTTGAAGCAATTGACTTGCTTGTACCCTACAATCCCCTGTCAACTGATTATAATTAGATGCATCAAGTGATTTGCACAGAAGGCTTAGGAAACCACCTGCTCGAGATCATCATCAACAAAGGCCTTTATTTGCAACGAAGGTGTGGTTTTGTTTACCAATTACAATTCAAGACAAACACTGAACGGTGGATCTCGTCTTGTCTATCTAGAAGCGGACTCGCCAGATCTTGAACTCATAGAGCTGTGATTATCTGATGTTTCCTCCCTCAATCTTTTTTGCCTTCCATGGAATATAATCAAACATACTACACCGGTGAGCTCAAGTATTCGTATATGTATTATCGTTATTCTTTCCTTAATCTAACTTCTCATATAACTTTTTCTTTTTTTACCAATCAGCAATATGGCCAAGAGGAAAGGATCCAAGTCGCCAGTCACCAGTCCTAAGAATGAGGTTACACCCACGGCTCATACGTACATGATGAAGGTTGACAGTCAATTATTGCCAACAACTCAAGGACTCAATACTTCCACTCCCCCAAAAGGAACCAACACCACCCAACAGCCATCTTATAAGGATAACACTCGTCCCGAATCTAGCTCGATGAATTATCTATTCAACCACCCTTTGTGGCCCAAGATCCAGACACTACCCGAAACGCTCCATGTCTTTCTTCGAAGTGACTTTGACTCCATCGCCTCAAAGACTACAAACCTTGACTATCATCGTGTTTTGTACCACTTCGATCCCAAGACTAAGTCGCGCCCTTCTCACACCAAGGCTAAATTAAAGAAAGACTTCGATGACAACTTAAAGCCACTCTTGCTCCCATTTGCCATCGATCCACCTAAGCCGGACGCGGACGCTAGTGAAACATCCCCACCTGATATCGATTTTGATCCGCTTCATCGGCGTACTACTCGGGCCATGTTGTCTCAAGCTATCCTCTCCAGACGCCCAGGGTACTCAATCGCATCAGACGCCCGAATCGACCAAATCTTGATCTTATACAAAGCATTTGTCGATCCCGACCTTTTATTACCAGTCAACAGAGAATTTATTCACAAACCCAAATGCCTTACGGCTGATAAGGCTCGTCAAAAGACAATTGAATACTTGCGCTTTGCACTGCAATGTCATGCTCCGCATATATTTGTGCACTCTGTATCACTTACGCATCCGCTCTTGTTGGACTTGTACATCAAATTTGTTATCGAGGACCCGGTTCCTGACGGACGGCTAGTTTGCGGATATCATTATTCAGAGATTTCTGACATGATGACATCATTAAGTGATAGGCATAGGTACGCTTTCCGCGCTATTGTACACTGCATGTTTGAACTCGAAGTACCTGACTAGGAACTGATACATCCGATTTTGATCATCTGCAGGAACCGATCGGGATTGGCAGCTGGACTTTGTAAAGTGAAGCATTAAGTAGACTGTAACTTGGCCGGTGAAACATCGAATTAGATAGGCTATCTACGGCAACAAAGGAAAGTTTGGATAGAAGCGTTGGGGATATCATGATTATGAATCGCGAAAACACCCGTCTTGACATATGCATTTGTATAAATACTTCCTTACCTTCATGACTGGCTTGTATTCCCCTGTTTTGTGTCGAGTTGACTGTATCTTCAATCTGCCATTTGTTTATCTCATCCTGTTTCTTGATTATCAGCGCTGAAATTTCTTGAATCTCAAATAACATGGCTCCTGGCAAAAAAAAACCTCATCGTATTGTATGTCGCTGCCAAGCTTTTGACTGTGCTTCCGGGGTGTATGTGGATGCATATGGAAATCATCAAGCAGGAGTGGAGCTCACCCGAGCAGCATATGAAGCTCATCAACGTACTGAAGTGAGGAACACTGCAGAAGCCTCCTTATCTCCCGCAAGAAGCTCTTCCGAGACACCATGTCATGTGAGACCGACTTCGACCATCTCAAATGATAGCCCGTTGGTCAAATCATTGGAGCATCTTTCTCTTGATTCTACCAGCCCATCACAGATTCAATCTCCGACTCACAGATCCGGACAAGCTTCAAAACTGCCAATTGATGCTCGACATCACCTCCCATCCGATCCACACCTTGATCATCACCTTCTTGATGATGTCATAAGTAGCATTTCGTCTGAGGAACCTGACATCTTTCCACCACGAAGATGTTTGGCTGCTGTTGTAGCGAGAGATGCGGGTGTTAATGTGTTTGACTGTGGTACGTTTTCATCTATACTTTCAATCAAGAGATTCGACTTGAGGTACTCATTGAGATCTGATCCTTCCAGGCAAATTCCACAACTTTACCTTGAAAAATCTTGAACCATTGTTCCTTCACGCTACTCTTACTTCAGCAATCATGAGTATATTTGACCACTCATCACAAAGTACAGCGTCCTGGCTATTAGATGTTCAAAAAATCACAATCGAATTGTCCTTGACCTGTGGACTTGTACGAAATCTATCAGAAACACGATCTTGTCTCCTCCCAGCAGACCTGGCAGCTCTACGTCGAATACCAAAGACTATTGTAACAGTGGTTGGATGGCTTCAAATTGATCCGCAACTGACCTTTATGAATTGCTGCCGGGCGTGCTTTGCATTATATACAACTACGACGACACCCCCCAATTGTTACCATCGTATTTCTAGAATCCCAGGAGGACCCCCTGAAGATGATACAAATGCAACTGTAGCCACTTCATCAACAGAAGACGAGCATCTAGACTTCTCGGAAACAACCTGCGGTGAGCCTTTGATTCGATTTTCTCGAGGCAAGGAAATCCCAATATGTCGCTATGCATTCCAAAACCTTTCAAATTGGATCGCAAACTTCTTGTGTCGCCCAATGGTCGAAACTTGGCTGGATGAATCACTTGTGGAATCATCTAAGCCATTTGACTCCAATGCTAAGATTCGTGATATTCATCAATCAAAGATGTGGAAAGAGTTTCGTGGGCCAGGCGGCCTAGATCAGTTCTCTGCGACAAGTGGTAATTTGATCTTTGGGATGTTTGTTGATGGGATTAATCCCTTTGGTAACAAACAAAGTGGACATCACACATCTATAACTTTCATCGTATTGGTGTGTCTAACACTTCCTTTCAACATCAGATATCGGCCAGAAAATATCTTCCTTGCAGGGATAGTTCCTGGCCCACGCGAACCCTCGCTCGAGCAGATGAACTGGGTGTTACGCCCAATCGTGACTCAACTTAATTCATTGTGGAATCCTGGACTGTTATTATCTCAAACACACCTCTACAAAAAAGGACGCCTCATCAAGGCTGCTCTATTACCTTTCATAGCCGACATTCCAGCTTTGAGACATTCTCTCGGATTCCCAAGTGCAACAGCCACTTATTTCTGCTCGTATTGTCTCTTAAAAAAACAAGAAATCAACAATTTTGACCGCACGTCATGGCCTACCCGCACTTCTTACCAGCACCAAATTTGGGCACTACAAGCTCGCGATGCTCAGACAATTACTGAGCGGAAGAAAATCTTCAAAACGCACGGAGTGCACTACTCAGTCCTGATTGAATTGGAATACTGGGACATCGTGGGATCTCATGTTGTCGATTCCATGCATAACCTTTTGCTTGGGCTTCTTATGACACACTGCCGGCGTTTTTGGGCGATGAAAGAGCTAACTAGTGATGAAGATCAAGTTCCTGGAATCAGTACGAAGGAGTTGTTGAATCTAGTCTCAGAACACTCCGACCCCCCCCCCAATTTGAACAAACATAAGTCACCAACACACGATATTGAAACCGACGAGTGTGAATTCTTAGATAACTCTTTCAGCGAGAACACAGACTCAAGTGATGCGGAGTTTAATCCTTTATGTGAGGATGGATGGAAGGGAGAGTGGGTTTCCCCACCCCTTGATGATATTATCTTTGATTCGGCAATGCTTGAATTTATTAATTCGTTCCTGCCTAGGATTCACATTCCAACGTGGATCAAGCGGGCGATTCCTGTTCTTGGAAAAGCGTCTTTTGGCAAACTCAAGGCCGATGAATGGCGAAATCTTTTTGCCATTCAATTACCGTTGATATTGATTCCGTTGTGGTTTGGACAAGACGATGTGAAAGCGTCTTTACTTCAAAACTTTTGTCATCTGGTCTCTTTAGTTAACCTTGCTCTCAATCACACAATTTCAACTCAACACATTGAAAGATACCGACATCACATCCAAGAATACCTACACAGCTCGGTTATACTTTTTCAGCACTGTACACTCACTCCCAACCACCACATGGCTATTCACTTAGCTGACTGTCTTGAGAAGTTTGGTTCAGTTCGAGCGTGGTGGTCGTTTCCATATGAACGACTGATGGGAAGTATACTGAAGGCGTGTCATAATAATCACATAGGAATGTAATTATTCCAAGATATCTTTTGATTAAAAGCTTTCATTGGAAATGATACTGATTGTTTCTTATAATTCAGGTCAGATTGAAATCACGTTTCTCAACAATTTCTGCCGTGCAGGGAACTTATCTGCTCTGCTTCAAGATGAAACAAGACTTCCTGAACAACTGAAGCCGTACATCAGCCGCTTAAGGTCACTTTATGAGTCGTCACCCTCAAAGCCGAGAGAAATTTTTACCTCACAACTCGAACCGTTGAATAACGATGTTTTGTCTTTGTTAGTGGAGCGGTTGAACAACCAACACCAAGACAACTGTACATGGGTAACACCCAAGGTATGGGCTTCATTTTCATCCGACGATGCTCTTGGATACGCACCGGTCCCACCTCGTGCGTTTTTTAAGAAGAGAATTCATCATCAAGATGTCACCTACTCAACATTTGAAAGCAGTTCAAATGATAGCTTTGTAGCTTTCAAATGCTTTTCAGACAAATCTGAAAGTTTTGGTCGAATATCAAAAATTTTTGTTCATCGCCGGGCACCATCGGTGAATGAAAGTATCAATGACACTTGGTTCCTACTCCAAGTTTTCAAAACATTAAAATCATCACAACGTGACCCTTTTACAGCCATGAAGATGCCAGACATGAAAACCCATCTACGCTTATGGGATGCGCCGGAAGATAGAATAGTGAGATTGGATGAGATTGTTGCGCATTGTTCATGGCTAATGTATAAACCTAAAGAGTTATACAGGAGCTTGGATGTGCGCACTGTGGCTCTGGTTTCAATGTTGAGATAATTCTTAGATGTTGTTATTGTTATGATATTGATATCATGGTTTGAGTCAAAGATCATTACCTTTCTAGGTAGATGCTTTAGATGTGAAGCGGTTGAGGGTGTAGTAGTTTTCTTTTCTTTGGTTGGTAGCAGTTGGAGTAGTAATGAGCTGGAAGCAAGGGATAAGCGAGTTGCATGATGTAGAAAGGGGTACTCAAAAGTTGTTTTTTGTTTCTTTCTGTTATAATGTGTCGCGTTCGTTTGTCCCCCCTCTTTCTGATTCTTTTCCTCGTCGAAAAGAATTAGTAAGTCCAATCCTCACGATTCTCAAGTTCTCAATTGTCCTCAACTAATTATTTTCTCTATTTTTCTTTTTCAATTCTCTTCTTACGGTTTTAAGATCTGTTTTAAAAAAATCCGTTCTTAAAACTAAAAATCTCACCGCGCTGCTTCGTTCTTTCTCTCAAGCTCGCAGGTATTTTTCTATTCTAATCTCTTTTTCTCTTTTAAGTAGTCTGTCTGATTGTTTTTATATCTGCTGTTGCTTTGTCTCAGGTGTGTTTCTTGATCTCGTCGTAGACCAGCAGAGAGCTTGTGTCTAACGCGAATCCTGTGCCTTCAGGTGGGTAGTCGAAAAGAATTAATCTGTTTTAAAAAAATCTGTTCTTAAAACTAAAAATCTCACCGCGCTGCTTCGTTCTTTCTCTCGAGCTCGCAGGTGTGTTTCTTGATCTCGTCGTAGACCAGCAGAGAGCTTGTGTCTAACGCAAATCCTGTGCCTTCAGGTTTTCTTTCTTAATTCACAAGAGCTTCTCTCAACAGTCTTACGCCAGTTTTAGAACTGGATCCGAGATCAGTGAAACTTTATAGTTATCCTGGTGGTTCATATGATTGGGATCATGATCCTCTTTAATATAAGTGCTGTCTCTGTTTTTTTTATTTTCCCATATCAAATTCACTTTTTCTTACTTTGTGAATCTACTCTATAAGGTTCTTTTCAAAAATCCCCACTCAAAAAAATTAAAATCTAGACTACGTACAAAACTCCTTGAAATTACTTTTGCTGTATATATTCTTATAAGTTTCAATTCAGAAATCCCTGGTCTATAAAATGAGATACAATCTAGAGTATGTAGAAAACTACTTTAAATGATTTTTCCTGTATATATTTCAATTCTTGAAAATCAAAGTAAATTCAGTTTTTGATTGTTCGACATTGTAATTGAGACCAATAAAAATCTTTTTCTTGTCAACCTTTTTGTTGTGAGAAAGAGAAATTGGAACCATGTTCAATAAAGCTAATCATACTGAGGTTTGAATGGAGAAAGGACGCTTTGTACTTACTTAATTGCTGGTGTATTCGGTGTAAATACATGCCCTTTCAATCAAAGTTTTTCTTGTAAATCAAAGCTTCTCGAGTTTTGGAATCAGATCAATTAAGAGGGGGACTGGATTGATTTCCATCTCTCGCCTCTCCAGGGGTGAAAGAGTAGTGAGCCATTTTTTGGAGTAACAGTCGATCGGAAGGCGAGCCGGGACAGGTGTTTGACTTTTTGGTCTATCTTTGGAATCACACCGAACCCGAGGCCTACAACGACGTCCAGTAGTCTTTGGAGACGGGCGTGTCCTTGACCTTGGCGTGCTTGATTGAGATTTTGACTTGGATGAATCAAGTAGGATACATACACTTTCAAGTGTCTGGCTACGCCATTCAAGAGATCGAATGCAACACGGTATGGAGGGGCCAACAGAGTTATTGCCTGATGTCGTCTGCTCCATGTCAGTTTCATCATCGCTACATGAAACCCGCACAATTGGTGCTAGTGGCCACAGTGCTTGTTGTGAAAGTACAATGTTCTCCCGCAATCCTCGTAACTATAAACCAAGTTGTTCACATCAGTAGTGTTTCTGGAAAACGTATGTAGTCTAGAAACATTGTACATATCTGAGCCGTGAAGTTCTTCTAACTTCATCTGCTGTTCTTTTCCGGCGTTCCTCTGACCACTGTTCATTTTGATAGCTATATAAGAGTGAGGTACATTTGTTAGTCAGCAGCAGTTCCACAAACTTTTGGAAATGAATTGAAATCAATTACGTGCCGTTTGGTAAGAGATCGAATATGAGTATGAAGAGTCTTTTTCATGAAAGTGCGATTCTGTTCTTGAAGTGAAACACCCGTATATTCACCGCACTCCACCAGTTTGATGAAGATTTGCAAACAAAGGTCCCAAAGCCACCGGTTCTCGTTTGAAGTCGCAGATTGTGAAAAATCAGGACGAAAACTCGACACTCCAACCGATTGCATCATGTTCCAGATAACAGATAGCTGTTGAGGAGTTGACTCTTGATGCCCAGGCCCCTTTGGATAAGGGAAACGAGGGTTGGAAGGCTCGACCGATTTCCCTGTAGATACACTCGGACGTACACTGTCAGCTTCAATGTTGATGGGGTCAACCTCACACATCCAACTTTCTCTTTCGCTTGCCGTTGCTGGAGGAGGCAGTTTTTCGTTGCTGTCCTGATTTCCTATCAAAGTTTCGACATGAAAACGGATCTGAGCCTAAGGCCAAGCCATAAAATCAGTCTTCTAGATACCCAATGTTCATGTTATGTTTTCTGGGCCTACCACTAATTGCCCACCACGAGTTTTATTTGCACACCTCTTGGTCGGACTATTCTCGATGTTTTGACTGACCACGTCTGATAGAGAGTTGAAAGATTGGCTGAGTGACTCAAAGTTTTTGTCGGTCCTCGCCAGATGTGCCTGAATTTTGTCTGTAAAAGTACACACATCAGCATATCTCGATTGGGACTTATGACAAGCCAAGACATCGACAAATTAGCTTACAAATTGAATGAACCAGCCATGCATTACTCCCGGCTTGAGGCGTTTCTGGACTTGGATTAGATGTCAAATCAATCCTATGAGGCTGAACTGATGGCCGCTTTGGTGTTTGAGGAGGACAGACGGTTTCTTCATAGTTTCCGCTACTGGTGCCTGGCCGGTCCGATGGGTCTGATGGTTTGTCTTGAGACTCATGATTCATATTCTCATTGCCTGATTCATCCGATATATTGACATCCGGAAAAGATTCGGGTTCGCTTTCGGGTGCTAAAGCTTTTTCCTTACCTTTGCGACTCCGTGTTTGTGGCACTTGTGATGATCGCAAATTTGAGCGTTTTGGTGGGGCTTTACCTACACGTTTTTGATGATCCTTTTTGTGTGATATTGAAGTTCCTACCTCCGAGCGCAGTACAAGAGATGATCTTCGTGATTCATTTGGTAGGGTGGTTTGGCTATTGGAATCGATTCTTGATGGTGGGCCGGAGGATGGGTCTGTTTCAGAGCGTCCCAAATCCATGCCGATTGGATCACTATCAGCAAAGGTAAACAGGAAGCCAAAAAACTTTATCGAAACTAAATTGAACTCACTTTCTACTGGTTCAGAGACGTCTTCTACAGCCAAAAATCCCACATCTGTCTTTGTTGCGCCTGCTAAGAGTTGCCACAAATCTCAGTACTATTATTTGAGATACAGAAGCAGAATTGGTAATCACTATATTGTACTCACTTCCTACTGATTCAGAGACATCATCTACCACCCATAATCCAATATCGGTCTGTGCTCGGCCTGCTATTGGAACGATGTCACAGCCAATCAGCTGCCAGTGCATTAAGTTCTGAAATTGTGCGTACGTACTCCTACGTACTCTGATTGCCAGCCTGGATTGATGCCAAAGCACCGGCCTCAAGAGGTACAACAACACTAGGCTGTATGACTGCAAATTGACATAGTTGTGACTGATCAGTAGGGAATCCGCTCAATTTTCTGGGTAGAAGGTGAGCTCTATGATACAAATCAATCATAATGAATAAATTCTTACCATCCTTCGATCGCGTCTTAGACACATCTTCAGAAACTGTAAAATCAAATATTGTATCTGGGATAATGACTAAAAGAAGAAAATATCCTGGATTGAGGTCCAACATTGGTTAATCCCAACCAGTTTAGAAGATAAAAAACTAACTCAAGTCATTGTATGTCCTGCATGTGTTGATGAGCTTTGTGCGATCAAAGCCTTTAGCATCTATTCCCACACCACCTATCATCTCAATGAGATGGGCGTCTGAAAATCTGGCGTAGTCCGGATGGCGATATTGTAATGATCGATTTTCGACCGCTTTCAAATCTTGAACTGGACCTGTTGGGGTCGGCACAGGATTACGCATCTTTGAACCCTTTTTGCGGGTGATATCTGGGACCGCACAGGTATCGGATAGACGCGGTGTTTTCCTAGTCACATGACGATTAAGTAATTGAAGAAGCCTTTCACGTTGAGTTTGTCCTCCAACATTAACGCCCAATTCTTCTAAAGAATCCTTGGCTTGACCGGCACGATCCTTGCTGGGGTCTGTAATCATGAGTTGAGTAAAGGCATTAACATCATTGGCGGTTGACAGTCTTCAAAAATTCACTTACCAGGAAGTATAACTGAATTTTCCCGTACCTTCCTTTTTCTCAAAACAACTTTCTTTTCCAGAACGCTAGTTGAAGCCACAGAATCAGTAGTTTTGATCGGAGTCGTGGTTGAAGGCACGGAAACAGGCTTTCGAGGCATGATGCTGGATGAAGTGAAGAAGACTTCGAGAATGATAAGTTCCAATTGAGTTGTATGTAAAAGTAATGATGTTACGTGAAGAGTAAGAAGATGAAAAAGTGGATTATAATAGGTCACAACTTTGACGGTATTATAGGTTAATATTGTAGTTAATTGAGAGATCTGATGTTATGATGATTATGTATATGTAATATGTAGCTTGAAAATATTTCAGGTACCAGCCTGGAGGTTAGTTTGAGTTTAAGATACAATTAGTAGGAGACCGGAGGGGTATGAGAAAGAAAGAAACCCGTTTTATAAGTATAGATGACAATTTACAAATTGTTATTGTGCCATACAAAGTATCACTACTAGAACAGGTTGGCTCGAGATGCTGTAGTACTGGTGGTTCATGACTTGCTTCACAAAACGGTTGCAACCCTTTTGTAATTAATTATTTTCCTTGGAGAAAGGAACACTGACCTAAAAATCGACATGGAAGATGCCTTAGATCCAGAAACCCTTTCATAAAACACATTCTTCAGGGTTTGAATAGCAATCTTGAAGCTCAGAAATACTCCAATTGATTTGTTAATTAGTCGCCTAACTTTTGGTGCCATATTGTGTCAACAAAAAATTATAAGTTTCATTTGTTACCATGAGAAAACATTTGAGTCAGTGTGAGTCACACCTTTTCTTGTGAGAAAAGGTATGACTCGCACCTTTTCTCATAAGAAAAGGTATGTATGACTCATCCAGTTGCTCACCTCAAAATATACGAGTTAGCAACAAGTGGGCATTGTTGCATGATCATTAGCCCACTTGTTTGAAGACGGTAGCCTTAGGGAAGTGGGGGCCATCCTTGCAAGTGACTGTGTATGAGCTCTGGTAATGGGTGAAGTTGACCTGTACACAACGGTCCGCTCTTCATGATCAATTCAAAAGATACATGTTTTTAATTATATGGTTGTTCGTATCTGATATATCATCATGGTTAGATTAGTTGAATGATTTCATGCATCTTTTCATGAACAAAGCGCCGGATCAATTTTTGAACCCAAAAAACAGTTATATAATATATCATTATAATTGAGCCGGACTCCGAATATAGCTGCCCTACAGATGCAGATAATCATTCTATATAATACTGACATTGATCACATTCCTTAATGTGATCCTTCTGTTGTTCCGTATCTTATAAAACCAATTTATTCATCTCATGAAAATCAGACTCATGATATACAAGAGAACATCAAAACTGAAAGGAAGAGAAAAAGATACCGAAAAGAAAAGTAAAATGAAAAAGCAAAGAAAGGAAGAAAACAAAGCGTGAGATTGAGATTTCATCGTGATGGTTATTTGACTTGAATCAAACGGTGTTTTACATACATCTTACATCTAATTTGATGCATATGAGGACTAATCTTGATCGGTACGATGCTTGTCAAGGATCTTCCTACAAGTTCATGATTCACGAATATAATCAGTTAAGAATTGACTATAGATGCTCATACAAAAAACACTGAGGGAGAACATACTTATGATGATTTACCAAAGCATGAACGAATGCACAATCTTGTGCAACAACTTCAAATGCGTTCTTATATGATATCAATGAGGTTTTTGCGCATATTAATTGCTCTTCAAGCTCTTGTACTGAGGTAGATAAGAGATTGGGCTCGCATAGAAGAAGTTGAATGCGATCAATGGACTCGTGGGCGCTTCGAAGATTACACGCAGCCTCATGGAAACCCTCGTCGGCATCATCTTGAGCCTGAACAATCTGGTCGATCTCGGCATGATTGAGATACGTGTACTTGTTTACAAATCGCTCAAGGTCTAAGGCTGCCAGACGGAAGTGCCCGTTCTTGATGTTCAGAAGACATTGATCGTTGAAATAGTCAATCCGTTTGGCGTCGATATCAGCGCTGGAGTTCACCCATCTGATTGTGGGTTGAATTTCGTTTGTTGGGTGACGCAGCTCGGCTTGAAGATAGTCTGTGGGCCGGTTTTCAGGGATAACTATGTTGTTTAGACGCGGGGCTATCATTTCGACAAAAATCTTGAGGAGGAGCTCGTGATCTTCTCTTGCATTTTGAGTGAAACGAAAATACGGATAAAATGAAAGAATGACTTCCAAAATTTGTGAGGGAGTGGCTTTGCTTAGAAAAAGGTCTGGATCAATCATTGGTCTAGGTTCATGAACGACATATTTGAGGATATAACTTGGTAGGAAAATGTGATATTGGATTGGACATGACATGATGATGATCAATGTATCAGATAGAAAGATATCTAAGACTGGGGGAATAGGGATGATCACCGGGGTGAAACAGTGGTTTCTTATGATTATTGTAGTCTAGAGAGACCAGTTTGAGATCAGAAGGTTCTAATTATAAAAGCCCTTGGGCCTTGTGTCTTGTGTTTAATAATTAATATATGCATTGTAACGACCAATATACACATATCAAAAGAAAGAATTTTGGAAGATTGCTAAGTCAAGTCAAACTCCGATATCAATATATCTGAATCAATATATCTGAATCAATATATCTAAAGAAGAAGGTATATGCACTTCTATAATTTTGTTAATCGCCACTCATAATTATTCTAATTATGTTGACAGATTCCATACCTGAGGCTGAATGCTGGTATGCTAATCAGCCCCTTCAGGTAATCTCCCAATAAATGGGCCACCCATACGTACTATGTGAGTTGTGTTTCAGTGTTTTGATTGATCACAACGTACCTTCATCACAGATGATTTCGTATATATTGAGGAGCATATGATTGAACATATACATACAACAATACAAATTTTCACAATTTCACAATTGTATGGTCACAACTTGATTATCCATCATGATCACCTGGCCAAGACACAACTTGAGAAATCATTGCACAATTAAAATGTCCTCAGACGCGCATTGAGCAGTTACAAGTGATAATTTCCTTTGATTGGATAAGGTCCGAGTGATGGATGCTTCACTGTATTGGGCATCAGGCTAAAAGAGACAAAAGAAACCTGTATTGGTATTTGGTTGATGTTCAGGAGTCATATAAAAATAATTTCAGATAAAACAATCTTAGTTGATGGGCTATCCACTAATTATGATATGAAGTAACAGTCGTGTACATAATTAGAGGTCTGACTCTTCATCATCTCCTGATTCTTCATTGTCAGACGTCTCTTGCAAACTCATCAATTTTGTAATGATCTCTTCCTGGGTTTGAAGCTCGTCATGGGCTTTATCTAACCGCGCGCGAAGTCTGCTGACCTCGAATTGCAGGCTAGTAACCTGATCTTTGACATCATCAAATGCAGATATCTTCTTTTCCAAGAAAACCATCGATTCTTGAAGTTCGTGAAGGGCACTGTCTGTTGCAAATTGTGCTTTAAGTCAGAATTGAATTTGAAGATATTCAAACCAATGCGAGTTGGACACACCTTGTGACTTGACCTTTGCTTGTCCAGCTAAAACCTCCGAAGCCAACTTCTTGGCTGTGTCGACTTTTCTTGTCAAGATAGCTACAGTTTCCTCTAAAGCAAAGACTAAATCGTTTCCATGTCAATTCGTGCCGGGAAATGAAGAGATTGATTGCAGGAGGAGGACATACGTTTGTTGTGTTGTTGTCTTTCACGGAGGAACACATCCACGCCAGTCAGTTGCTTTCCATGATTTGTGATTGGGCATATCTCACTCCCTGTCACTGCAAACCGGCAAGAAAAGACTTCAAACTTTGATACTTTGAACTGAAAAAAGGTGAACAAAACAACTTACTTATATTTTCTGTCTTGAAGACATCACCTTGTGAAAATGTCATCAAGTCACGATCACTTTCTATAGCTTCTGTGCTTGGAAGAACGTTCACATCTGATTGTACATCAATTAGCTTCTCATATGTCTCTTCTAAATTTGATTTTGCTGGTGGTGTCGGATGGGCGAGTTGCAAATTGTTTTGATTATTGTCCAAAAAAGCCTTAGGATTCAAGTAAGGTTTGCCTGATTTGGGAATATAGGGTGATATATTCAGAATGCGAGAGGCAGATGCTTCAAGAGCTTTAGGTGCTTCTGCATCACCTCCATCGTCAACAACCTGCTTCTTCACACCAAACATGTACACAGAGCGATGATAAATTACAGGTCTGTGTCAGTGTGGCTCATGAATAATAGAAGGTGATAATTGTAAGGACAAAGACTTACTTTTGGTTGTTTAAGGGTGTGGACGATACTTGGTTGAACAGCGCGTACACCTAGAGTCAAGAGAGTCACGATGTGTGAATTTCAATAATTAGTTCACTTGACTCATAATAATATGTACCTTTTGCAATTCGCTTTTTTGATTGGGGTTTGCCCTCGAAAGATACTGATCTCTTCCCCAAATGAACTGTCTCCGCCGAGACAAGCTTTGAGGGCATTCTTGACCGTCGAGTTTCTGAAACCAGTGATTTTTGGTCTTGCAATCCAGGACCGCTACAGTCAGTAACAGGTTGAGATCCATCTGCTTCTGAATTCGAACTTGCAGCGTTAGATCCGGATTGTGTGACGCCAAGCTTCGTCAAGGATGGGTTTTTAGGTGGAGGAAATACTGGTTTGTGAGGATGTGAGACCAGTTATATCAGCTACGAATCAATCAACCAGTTGATCGCTATTTCATCAAGATCAGAACATTAAAAGCAAAATGTACTTACGATGTGGCTGCATCTCGCGCACAATATCTGCAATTTCAGATTTATGGAGAGAGCCACTAACCACTCGTTTTGGATAATGTATGCGTAACCAATCAAGCATCATTTGCTTTCCAACTCCAGGATTAGCTGGGTCTAGAGATACTGGATTCGACATTGCAGGATGTTGTAAATACCTTCAAGGTGTTAAAGATGAAGTGTGATGTGGTCAATAACTCAATGTGGATGGCGTACGGATGTACATATTATAGTGACGGAGAGATGCCCAGTGCAACGTACCTGTTGGCAGCAGTCTATAAACAGATCGGAGTTGGAAGTGAATTGATCAAGGAAAGCGAGTTATGATAATTAGGAGAAAGACAACAAGATTTTGTGAGCAAGAGATTGGACGTGGTGTGTATAATACTGGATATGATAGTGGAAGAGTTTCACCAGGTGGGCGCATAGTGATGTGTCACTGTTGATCATGTGGTGAAGATTATAGTCGGCTCATGATTAGATCGGTTCATGATGGAATCGTGAGTTGTTGTACATGATTAATTAGATATAGAAAAACAATGATGATGATGAGTTGTGATGGACGGTTCTAAAACACGCCATGTTTAAAATTTGTGAGGTCATCAAGTCGTTACAGACTCCAGATACACACAACAAATTGTGTTGCACTGTGGTTACCGTTACTGTACTGGTCATGTACGTATAGGATAGAGTCACATCTATGTAGGCAAAAGTACACCCCATGACAATCTTAAAGGTGTTAGACGTGATTGAGCTCCAGATTTACCCTCCAGATATGTGTACATGGGAAAACAAAATTGTGTCTATAATTTTCTACGGCTTTCAGAATTTTCCAAACTCATGAGAAAAGAACACATTTTTTGTAGTGTGACAAGGAAGGCCAAAAGATTTGGTCAGCAGCAAAACCTTATCAATTCCACAACCAGCTTGGGAGGAGCTTTCAACCTAGAATGAAGCAGACTATAAACAAATCTGCTCTAGAGCGTCCCACCAACGGAGACCATCGTTCATACAATTAAATAAGGTCTAACCGTTGGCACAAGCGATGGCGAGAAAATATCAGGGGTGGACTTGATCGAGGAGAGAAGCAAATTGTCCGGGTTTGGCCCTGACTTGGTTTTTCGATAGAAATTCCTTAGAACAAAACAAAGAGAACTTTTACTTAACATGATGCATCCGAGAAAAATAGGAATAGTGCACAAAGTAAATATGTGGATAGAGTGTGTGAGTGGAAAATTAAAAGTAATAGGGTCGACCAAGGATTGCGAATAGAGATTGGTAGCCATCAGGGTATAAAAGGCGGGAGTGGTGTACCAATTTGACAAGCCACCTTGAACACTTCTTTCGTTAAGACCCCTTCAAGAATAAACCAAAACGTATAGTGTTCTTAAACATTGTTTACTACCCAAATTGTGAATCCAACTTGTGAATTCTTACTGCTCATGTACAAACAACTTTCCTGAACCAAAAACACCGGGTACATTTCAGACTATGAACATTATAAAAATAGAGGACTTTACTAAAGTCAGCCCCCCCTTCAAAGGGTTGACCGCCCCCTTTTAGTCAGGGAAGAAGTGTACAATACAAAAAAGGCTGTCAGGTGTCAATCCGTGTGAATACAAAACTGAACATGAAGGGGGCAGTCTTGATTTCAGGTAAAATGGAAGCCAATCTTTTGAAAAGCAGTGTTTCTCCTCCTGCTTCCACAACTCAAGATTCAAGCTGGTGGGTTTGGTACTTGCTGATTCAAACATCTCCTTCCCTTGCATTGTTGATTTGTTTGCCATCAAAAAAAATCCCTCTTGTCCCCCTGTTGTAGCAATCAACAAAAGATTTACTGCTTTCCTTTCGAAGAAAATATATGTTCATCAATTGATAACAATTGAAACCTTGATAAGATCAAAGTTGTGAGAATGATCCAGATTCCATTTCACTTGCATTTGGGACTGCCCCTATGTGTTGTTTTAAATTGACACTTATTCGCACACTTGCCACTCAAACCAGACCTCAGATTTGCAGCATCTCTCGATGTGCTCAATCAATCTGAAGAGTTCTTCCATTTCTCTTGCAATTCCCTCCCCTGTCTTTTGACTTCCATTGATGCGGCTTTAATCAGAAGTCTGTTAATTCAATGGACATGCTCAAACATGCTCCTATCATTCACTCCATATGTGTTCACAAAGACCTTTTGTGAGAGATGATAAACCAAGACAATTCATATTCACAGCACCAAGACAGGACCCAGGTATGTGACAAAATTTCTGACCTTGGAGGACCTCAACTCTGGTCAAAAAAAAGCTCATGATTCTGACCTTTTTCCTCACAAACCTTACCTGGAATGGTTTTTTGGGGTCCGGCTACGCCCTGCCCCAAAACCGCGCAACAAGGCTGGGTCCAGACATTTTTGGTGCAATTCAAGCACATGGAAATGATTTATTAATTGCACAAAAACTTCCTTCATGACAAGTATGCAAATATAAAAATTGGATTCTCTAAAGAATATGACTTATGACAATGAATGTGATTTGTGATTTGACAATGAATGTAATTTGGTATTCTCATCAAGAAGTGATATCACATATGCTAGAATTGTTGTCACGGTTAACTCAAATTTCCAAACATTGGGCCCAAAATGCTGTGGACTGTACTGCTGTTCACAGCACAAAAACCTATCTGCTGTGCCCTTTCACTCAAGTGCACCTGTCCAATGATTTTTTTCCAATCAATTTGCACCTGGGCAAGGGATTGGAATACCCCCAGTAAATTTTCATCACAAAAAAATTCAACAAAAACATTTTCAAAAATTTTGATCCAAAAAAGAACCAAACCCTTTCCACCACCATCTCCATCTGATTGAAAATCCCAACTCAAAATGCCATCTCTCTCACATGTGAATCCTCTGTTAATCAATCCAACTTTTCATTTGGATTTAGCATCATCTGACAGTGTCATTCCAGATCCTATCAATTCAGGAACCCCCTTGGTCAGCTATTGTCCCGCATTTATTCACTCAAATATTTTCTGACTTTCAATTCTTTTCTATCAGTCAGAGAACCAAGACCATGTGGACAAAGATGACAATTTCCTGTCCAAGTTTGACTTTGGATTCCATGTGCCATCCAAGAAAGAGAAGTCCGGATACATTCAGATCTTTGACTTGAAATGCACAGTTGAATGGGTTGCAACTGACTTCAATATTGCAAAAATCAAGTCAAGATGTGTTGCCTCAGCTACGAGTTAGGCTACCAAGACCCTCCTTGAAGATTCAACCCGGCAAAAGAAGAACCCTGGGTGTTGGACTTTTTACATCTCAGGGAGTTCTAATTATCCCAAGAGCATGAAGTGGCGTGTTGAACTAATGGAAGAACATTTTCAGACCTGGGTTGAAGAGGCACACTCTAGCCAAGATGCTGGGATATCTTTATATGTTGCACAAAGTCCCCAAAAGCTGCAAGCTCAGGCTGATTTTGTATGCTCAACCTTTATCTCTATGAAACTTCCTTAAATAACATGATTCAATTTTTAGGCTGAACATACTGAGGCTGCAGCCGTGTTGGCAGCGCAAAAGAAGAAATGTCAAGCCCAACACTCAGAAGATACTGATGAGGTATAATCAAATCTACTTTTTTGTTGAGCTTGCTTCAATTTTCCCTGCTGACAATTGTTAAATCAACTCAGTTGGACCATGGAAATCCAGGTTCTCCTGTTGCTTCAGATGAATCTCCTGATACCTGTCTCATTGGACAACTTTTCAAAACACATCCGATGGACATCACATACCATTCAACATACCCTCCTGTCATTGATCCCAAAAACTCCAACTTCTACTTTGCACTGACATATGGAGAAGCCAAAGAGTGGGCTAAGCATCAAGTAAGTTGGTCATCATGATTTCACAGTGGCAAGCTTTCTGACATTCAAAACTCTTAGAATGATGATGATGTGAACCATCAAAACCCACCGGCAAAGCTCAAGTATGATCTTTAGAAGAGTTCCGGTCAAGCAACTCGTGCCAGCCCTCCACCTCAAATTTCACAGCCAGCCATCAGCTCTGTTCCAATTGCAGACCTTGTGGTAGGAGTTGTTGCGGCATTTGAGGTCGCACAATCACCCAACAAACGGCCAGTGTTCAACTTAGATTCCCCCAGCACATCTTGCTCAACTCTGATCAGGAGCCCACATCAAGTTTCCAGCCCACCTCCATTATCCTCATCCCCACCCTATGCCCAGGATCCTGAGCATCCGGATGGCCTACTCCCTGTCTTTTGTTTCCGTTGTTTCCCTGCAGAACAAATTCAAGAACTTGGTGAGATTTCATTATGTGCTTATGTTACTGATTACCGGATGATCAACAAGACAGACCTTCCAAATGATGTCTTAGCCCAACAAGGACTTTCAAGTGCCAACATCACCTCATTATACAGAGACACTGAGAAATTTCAATTGTTCAGGACTCAAAAATGTACAGCAGCCAGAATTTGCAGACAATAGCAACAGGCTGCAATAGTTTCACCACTTCTATGAATGAATATTGACCTCATCAAATGAGGAGTGAGCAGTTCAACCTCATTCATTTGATGAATAGTCACACAAAAGACAAGATTTGACATGCTTTTAAGCTATCTAATTGGTCTCCATGATTACTTAGCTTGGCAGCCTAAAGAATGCCATACATTCAATCTCTATCTTTCTTTCTTCTCATCAAATCGGGTTTGCTCAACTGTGAACTCAAAATCTTTGTTTGAATTAGATTGGACTTGTTTTCAATTATGATGTATTCCTACTTTGACTGAATCTAACCTTTTTCTGAGGTCTACTGGAGGTTTACAGGAGCAAGCTGGTCAAACTTTAGGCCTGGTAGTTTCTCTGGATCAAGATCCTGAGTAGCCTGAGTCAAACCTCAGGGATTTTGTCAGCTTTAGGCTGTGAAACCAATGGTAAATACCGAGTAAAATTACTTACCTAAGATAGGTAAGTAAAGTGGGGTCTTTGTTGTTTGTAGTAAACTAAAGGGAATCGCAGGAAGAGGGAACTGACAATAGCCAGAAAACGTTTGTAATACGATGAAACTGCAGAACGGTTCCTAGTAACGATTAAAGATAGCTATGATCTAAAACAGTGGTGGACACTTCTAAGGATATTAGTCAAGAACAAACTTTTGGGAGAAGTTATTTCTCCAGATGTGGATTCTCTAAGACTAACAAGGTCATGAACTTTTGTACAAGGGATAGAAGGTGTTCTTTTCTCCAAAGTGGGAAGAGGACCTTCTACTTATACCTTCTTGGACTACTTGGCCAGCTTGTGGTTTGTAGTAGTCCTTGTTTGGTCTTTGCACGGCCAGCTCGTGGTTCATGGCCAAATTGGGTCAGAAGGTATGGGAGTTGGAATGCTTTGTAGAGCCTTCTCTTTATGGGAAATGGTCTCTCT